CCAGTGACTGATATCAGTTCCCTGACCCAAGATCCCTGCATTATGTCTTCCGTCTCCCCATGTATACAGTTCACCAGATGTCGTAACAGCACAAGTATGAAACTCTCCACATGCAACAAAATCAACGTGGCAAAAAGATAAAGATTCCACTAGACGAGGTTTAGTAACATCTTTCCCAACTCCATGGCCAAGCTGTCCACCAGATTCTTCACCCCAACTAAAGATTTCACCTTGCCTAGTAACTACGGCAGCATGCCTAACTCCACAAGCAATATGATGTACATCCAGTACAACATTTGATTCTAGTGGCCTGGGAAGAAGCACATCAGCTCTTTTGCTCTCAGAAATTGAATTCTTCACTGGCCCAAACTTGACAACATTGTCACATATAATCTCGCCCCACATATAAACATCCCCCAAAGCATTGGAATCATCTGGTGTAGAACCTTGACTAGAAGTACTGGGGGCACTAGAAACACTAACCCGAAAAGCATCTGAACCAGATACTTTCAGCAGCATATTTGTCTGGCCAAGAGCTCCATGTGAACTTTCTGAATGCAACAGAATCATTTGGGTGATAGCTCTTGAAAGAAGTGCGTGCGTTCAAAATAACAGAACTATTGGACTATTGGATGTCAAATTTTTGTTATCCTGGAACATATGATTAGGAAACCTCAAGTTTAATGTGATGAAAATGTTTTCAAATCACCAAAATAGTATCCAAATTCAAATATTTGGATAGCACCGCGTGATATCCAAATAATGATTAGCACAATTCAAAAGACAAATTAAGTACCAAAATGTAGAATTTATCATTCTTGTAGAAGTGGATTACTTACTGTTCATCACAATCATATATTCAGCCAAACACATCATAGACTGTAGAGGTTATTCCATTTCCGTCTGTACTCTAGCCACATCAAACAAGAAATGATTCATAGTTTGTTGAAACCCCTCATTTAAAAGTTTAAGATACTAGAGGGAGGGCATATTAATTCATTTACATTAAGTCTTCTACACATGCAAGATGGATTTATATTTCATGGTATCAAAGCAGGCAGAGATTCTGTTAGAACCCTCACTACTGATGCTGCTGTACTCCAGTGATGGCTGTCTGTAGAGCCGAGAATCACAGACTTAGTGATGGGCAGAATGTAATTGGTGCTCTATGTCTGGGAGAGAAAAGAGTATTAGATGGTAGAACTATTGAAAGATGATTATTATAAAGCATTGTATTGAAATGAATAGAAATGATAACAAATTTTAGGCTATTCGAGAGGCCGGATCTCTCCCCACTAAATTCCAAATATCTTCCTCAATGCCCACAAATCCCAGCTCCTCTTTATTATATTTATAGACAATATGTTAGCTTTCTATTACCCTTTTACCCTTTTGCTAACTATGGGACACTCTAGAATATCGCAGCAATCTGATTGGATATCTATCAGATTCATCCTGCCGCCGCCACAGCAACATAAAAGCAAAACAAAAATTTGCTAGGAGCACATAGATCTACCATTTACGTGACAAGGTATTAGAAGTTATCCAAAGTAGAAATGAGAACGAGATTTTAGCAACAGGTATCCAAGGAAATAAAATTAACTGAAAAAGCATTTATACTGGCGTCCAAGTGTTAATGCTGTAAGACTAGATAATCACCTATACATATGTGCTCGAAAGAAGCATAGTAAAATCTGAATTCAATTACTCAGTTATCACACTCAAAAGTGAAACATAACTTACTTTATCACGCCAGATATAAGGTGCAAAAAAGAGAGCAGACAAAGCGATAGGTATGGGAGGTTGCAAGACTTACATTGCGTAGGAGAGGCTGATCACTCAATACATCAAGTCATGACAGCCCAGCTAGAAGAGATGATATCGCCGCCTTAAGACCAACTATCCAGGTCCCCATCTCTACTCTGTCCTTGCAGATCTAAAAATACAACATGACATAGCTACAAGTTAATATAAAACAAAATCAAAATGTAATAATCATTAATGAAATTTGGTTTATCACTCATCACACCAAGGGAAATTTTATTGAATGCTAAATTTCAATATGGAATGCGTTTACTCTTTAATAGTTTAAACTTTTAGATAATATGGTTCAACACAATATCAAAGCATACCAAAAACATGGGCTCAAGTCTCACTGCTACCTACTTATGAAAATCAGGCATGTGTCAGACCTTTAAAAATGAAGTTATCATGCACGTGAGGGGCATGTTGCATGTTAAAAGCAAAGTAAATAAATGTTTCCAGTCTTAACTGAAGTTTAGGTTGTTCAACACTTTTTCACAATGTTGTAAGAGACAAAAAGATAAATAATCCTTCTATTAATAATGCAGATATTGTTGGAACTTCAAACCAAATTGGTAAGAAATGATAAAAGTGAACTTTTAAGCAGAATATAGGCTCCGAAAACACAAAAAGAAGGGGATGTAGGAATGGTTACAAGCATGGTTTCAAACCATGAAAACATGACTTATTTGAATAACCTAGTAACCTACCAAAGTACCAATTGTAGTCAAGCTTAAGTTATATAACATGAAATTAGATCTCTAATCTCTTACTTTTTTGTCCAGGGATAATTCTTGAAATTGAAGCTAGCTTCAAATTTCTTTCACCGCTACTAGAAGTCCAAATTGAATATGCTTTGTCCTGCAATAATAACATTAAAACTTATTATTGCCATGTCACAAAATCGAAGTAAGATTGTCAGATAAGAACAGATTTGATTAATTATTAAATACTCCAACTGTATGGTGGTTATATTAAGAAAATAAAAATAAAAATCCATTAGATGATGAATAACTGGTTTTAAGCAATCATATATTAGGTATTAGCGGTTGTTATGTATGTGGCTTATATAAAGTGAAACACAGGTTTACTGGATCAAATAGGCCGATATCGAAGCAGAGCAGAGTAAGGGAAAAGTAGCGCACTGAACGGAAAGGAGCGGAGCGACGGTATCGATCTTGTGGGGTTTAATTCACTGTCTGGCTGCTAGGGACATTGAGTGGGATGGGGGTGCAAGGGCAACGTCCCCGTGGTACAGTACAGGAATATTTTCTTGTACGAGTTTTAAAGTCTTGTATGGGCTTGGGTTAGGATTAGTATAAATAATAATGTTGTAAACCTATTATTCATACTGAATAAAATTATCTCCACTTCGCTTTCGTAAACGTAGGCACGTCACCGAACCATGTAAATACTTGCGTTGATTTCTCTGTTTAATTCCTTTATTATTGCGCATAAATTCCAACAGCGGTTTGTAGAAAGCAGTATCAACTCAGCAAGCAATCACAGTACACTTACATTTAACCATTGTGGACGATGAAACAATTATTTGTAAAGTGATCAATATTAGTGACCTCAGAAAGCCTCCGAATTCCAGTGTACTATAGGAAGTATTGTAAACAAGCTATGTTATGCAAGCCTATTAGGTAGAATTTTTTAATGCAAACTTAAAACTTGTCAAGCCTTCTTTTTGTATCTAAGATGAACCTAGACTAAACTTTTCACCTTTAGGTAATGAAGCCATGCCTTTCAATTCAGAGACAGATAATCCATCTAATTAATAAAAGCATCCAAATTGTCCAGTTTAGTCCATCAAGAAGTAAGATAGCAGTAAACCCTAGCTGGCATCCTCTTGAATCTAAGCTACCTTTTTCTTACATACCTCATAGATATGATTTTCTTAGGGAAATTTGTTAAAAAGGCCCTCCTAAATACAGAAAGTGAAAAATATTCTTACCTTAACATTTCCTTAACTAGCCATCTAACAAAAAGATTTTAACTCATAACTAGCCTCCTAGTCACTTCTTCTCTGGTGGTCTCTTCCAGCGTATAATTGAAAAAGAAAGTACAAAAATCTTGAGAGTGAGAAAGAAAAACCCTTCTTTCTTCCATCACTTTTAGTCCTTTCTCTAAAGCACGAACAAACACATATACAAACACCCGAAATTTGATGGATTAGTAAGATTCAATTGTATACAGACAACTATAATAAAGCACATAGATCACAAGAAAATCAACAAGCCTCCCCCTCTTCCATGCATCCATCCACCCCCAGTGTTTTATACAAATTCCTCAAATTAAATCTTAACTTTGTGAGTGTCACATCACTCGTAGAAGGCCAGCCTTAGAGGTACTTGTAAAAGTATTATTAGATCAAACACCTCATTTTGAGGAAATGATAACAGGAGGAGGACTACTTCAGTAGAAGACTGGTTCTATAAAGGCCTTAATTGGGGAAGATGTTGCTGTACATTTCACAGGGTGAAATCTAACAACTACTTCTAAGTTTCACATTGCTCATGCAAGACAAGACTTGTCTTGCACGCTTATTAGTACATTGGACAACCCCTCTTATAAGCTGGCTTCAAGAAGTTGTTCCACCTAGTGCTTGTAGCAAAGGTATTAGATGGCATGTGGAAGGCCTGTCTTATGAGCACATTGACACCCCTTACAAGCTGGTTAGTTCTACCCAAGTGCTTGTAACACAATACCAACAATCTATTGCTCATAATACAAATAGGAACTACGTTTTCATAGATTGACTAGTTATTAAGGTAGAGATTTTGAAGAGAGGTACATGAGACACTATCTAAATCTGGACTTTGATAGAAAACTTTGAATGTCAATAAGTCCTTCAATTTTGCATGTGCATTGAGTAGTCTACAGGTGAATATGGGTCCAACTTGAGGGGCCAATTTAATCTAGACATGGTCAATTTGACAAGAATTGGGATGTATTTAACGCAACCCAAGATCCATTTTGACCAATTATGCTGTTAGAAGAAGGCCGTTTATATTCATTATGCTAAGGTTTGTTAAACGTATGTTTTACAAACTCGCCTAGACATCAACTCGCAAAGGTCAAACCCGGTAATAAAAATAGCAATCATGCTACATCACTAGAAGAGTTTGACAAAAAGATTGGCATAATGTCACATGGCATTTATTGGACTGTACAGTCAGCTTTTTCTCATCTAATCATATATTGTCAACACCAATTATGTCAACGAACCTGTCAACCATTTCTGGTAAAATGGCATAATCCTAAAAATAGCTAATAACCGGACCAGTTCTCTGTTTTTCCAAGGTCGAATCAGACGGTGCAGTAATGTTTTCAGAATAACGTTTTAAGCTAAATAAAGAAGTCAAAGACCATAATTTTATAATATGCCACTAGAAAAATTAGCTCTCTTTTTACAACATTCACACGAAAACCAACAAAATTTTCCTGAAAATTTGCTTTCCTAAGTGCATTATATAATTTGGTATAATATATCATCGAATAGACTACAACACAAACAAGAATTTATGCTCAATTTTTTTGTTTTTTTTTATAATAGCGGCCAACCTTTTTTTTTTCTGGTTTGTAATTTGGAGAAATAAAAAGCCATTTTAGTCACTTTTTGTGTATAAAAATGACTATTGTAATTTGGGTTAGCATATTCATACCAAAAACGCCAGAAATGGAAACCCCGAAAAATCTTTCATTTTAAGTTACAAAAACACAGTCTAACACGAAGATCCCATTTCTAATCTTTGAATTGAACGCATATATTACATAATACACTTATATAGAGAGACGTCATACTATATGGACAGACAGATAGATAGATAAAAGTGAGCACAGATACCAGCTCGATTTCATTTCCGCCTGTTGAATTGTAAAAAAACTCTCGAGCATTCTACTAAACCCAACTCACCACCATTTCACTCCCCCGGATCTGTAAAACTTGCTTCAGTTGAAGCATAAATGTCAGCGTACACCTGGCTGTTACGTTGTTACAGTGTAGTGGTGCTTGTACGGAAGACGAGTAATCAAATTTTTCTCCAGCGGCCGGAAGTGGAATACCGGCTCTGGCGACAATAGTGTGTGAGAGAGAGAGATGGCCGAAGGTGGTGTGGAGTACGTAGTCAAAAGAAGAGAAAAGCAGAGAATCAAAATTCGCCTGAGAATACAGAGTAAAGTTTGACCATTACTTTGCTTTTTTAGCTCCCTTTTATTTAACTTATTTTCTTTATACATCAATAATTTTTAAATAAAGCATTGAAATTCGTAAATTAAGACAGTTTAGATCACTTTTTGAGAAGTTAAAATGAGTTTTCAAGGCATCCTCGTTTGATTCTCATAGATTTAAGAATGAAAATGAAAAATATAGTCGTTATGGGATCTACACTAAAGATAGAAAGTCAAATGTGATGACTTGATGTGATGAATAACAGTCATATTTTTTATTTTTGTAACTAAAGAATGTGAATCAAACAGAGTCTTAAAAGCCATTTTTAAAACTTGTTTAATTAATGTCATAATACATTTCTTCTAGTTATAAAAGTTTTATAGGAAATTAATCCTATATAATTTGTTCTAAAGGCTATTTCTAAAATAAAAAACTCTTCTAGAACTTAATTTTTAAACACCAATTGAGATAGTTTCACAAGAAAAGCTTCTACAAGCAACAAAAGAAAAAATATAAGTCAAGCCAATTAAGCAGTTAAGTTCATGTTTGAACTCTATCATTTAAAAACTCTTCTTCTTCTTTTTTTTTTACAAACTCATTTTCAACTACATATTTTTTTAATAAAATAATTTTACAGGTAAATTCAAATATTTTTTTCTATATTTTATCCGCACATTTGTTAAAAAATTACTATTACGAAACTTTTTTTTCCTTCCAAAAATTAGGACTCAAACAGACCTAAATGAGACCCATTCGAAAAACACAACTCATACTATTTTCTTATAATGTATTCTTGAATAATGCTAGCTCAATGAAATGCAATGAATAAAACCCATTCAATTAACTATCATTTACTGGCATATAAAATATTAGTGATGCAATATAGGAGTGCTCTTTATTATGAATTAGTATCACATTTACTTGTTCAAAAACCATTTCAATTTCTTTTATTTAACATCTTTATTTGGATTCTATTCATCTCATATTCATTCTTGATTTAATTGTATTTTATCTAAAACTTGTCATGTCCAATTCATTTTATCTTTTCATTTCATCTACTCCTTTAATTTGTATTACATTCTCGTCAAAATTACAATTATAATTAATAAAACAAACACAAAAAAGGCATAAATCTCTATATAAATACTACCGTCTAGAAGAACACGAGCCCACAACCTAAATTCTCTTTTACCATTAATAGTCAATGTATCTCGAAGAAACTCTTTAAAGGGTAATATGCTCTTTATTTTTAAGATCAAATTTTGAATTATACTCTAAGAATAACAAAAAAAGCCCACTATTCTATTAAAAATCCATTTAAACAAATTACATCTTTCAATGCTTCATAATAGTAAGTTTTAATGTTAGTATTTGTAAAATAATATTGTACAACTTGTTGACATTGATAGGTGTGGCAAAAAAAGTTAGTTGAAAAGATTAATTGTTTTTTAAATTGTTCAATGACAATATGTCCATGATATGTTGTCGATAATGTTATCAAATTTACTGTACATGAAGCATTGCTCAATTGACTAATATGATAACATTGCACCTGAAACGCACACGTTTGAGATCTCTTGTCCCATCTGGAAGCGCTACAAGTGTTATATACACACCAGATTCGTATTGTTCAATCCACTCAGTCTCAGTTTGACTAGAATTACCAGCAACCACTGCATCTCTAGATTTGAAGCCATTATCACCACCTTCAACAGGTCCAGATTCTTTAGTGTCAACACCGTCAGGCACACTATTCATGTAACCCTGGACACTACATCCATTAGAGAGTTGGACATTTGAGTCGTCATTCATTCCATTTAAGGTGGAAAGTCCATGTTCCTGAGCACTAGAGTCATTTTTATTTCTCTCAATAGTATCCCCAACCAATTCAGCGTGGCCATGCATTTCATTTACAGTAATGGAGTCGAATCCAATGTGTGAGGCCATGTAGGAGTCGTTGATTGAATCAGATCTTGAACTCCCTTCTCCATCAGAGACAGGACAGTCTGTAGTATGTGGTGGGTGAGCCAACTTGATGTAATCAGGATTATAAACCCCCGATGGTAATCTCTCAGTCAAATATTTGAGCTGAACAAAGAGAATTTAGTCCAGTTCTTTATATTTATAAATGTGTGTGTAAATATCCAAAAATCATTTGATAACAGGAATAACTACCCTGGAAAGTTTCGTTTTTATTCTGTGAGATTGTGAATAGAGCACTTCAGGAAGAAGCACATGCACAGACTCCCAAGAAATAAAAATTTCTGGGGTAATTATTTCTGAAAGACAGATATAAGAGCAAACATAAAAATAAAGCAGAATTAACCTGAGCTGTGAGTGACTTTATCACTTCTTTTGCAGATTTACAGCTAGCAGATTCCTCTGCAGCCAATGTTATTGCTTCCTGAGCTTTCTTCACTGATTTCTGAAGTTCCAATTCTTGTAGATCACATCTATTTCTAAGGCTCTCAACCTAAATGAAGTTCACGATCAGGAAAAAAAGAGTAAAGATGAAATATTCAGTAAATAAAGATGTAAAAGGAATTATGATAACTTCTATACGTACCTGTACACGCAATTTGTGTACTTCTTGGTTCAGAAATTCATTTGTCTTCTTCAAAGTATCAGTATTTGTTTCGGAGAAAGAATGTCCTGACGTTGTAGGAACTGGTGTTGCAAATCGGTGGGGACTGGTTTTGCTCGAGAAGGGTGATACAGACCTGGAACTAACACTATATGGTGTAAGAATTGGTTTTTGTGCAGTTCGCAGCACATCAACATCTGCATACATAACTGCATCTCTCATCTGTGATGAAGAATGTAGTTGAGAGGAACGACCTGATGCAAATGTATTGGCTTTCTTTCCTTGCTTGGCCGCTTTTGCATCTAAACGTTTAATCAAATCAATATTGGATTGTGTTTCCGACTTGGTTGATTGTAGATCAGTCCTTTCGATTGCATCAGTACTTTCGCCTGAAATGCGTGGTACAGAATCTCTCCGGTTACTGAGCTTAGAGAAACATGAATCACAGACACGATATGGTTTGATGGGATTAGGTGCCAATGCTGCTCGCAATGCTTTTCTTGAACTGCAAGCATGACAGTGTACTAGTCCACAATTGTAGCAATTATGCCTCTTTCTTGAGAAGCCAAAAACCTGTCTACAAGCTGAACATTGAGACTGATCGGCACCAGAAACCCGTTTTTGAAGACATACTGCAGCCGTGTAATTTGAACCACAGGCAATATATTTGACACTTCTATCCTTTAAAGCTTCTACTAGTGATGGCATTTTACGATCTTCTATATCTCCTTGGCCCAACCTTCCATTAGCCCCGTTTCCCCACATAAAGACCTCATTTTTGGATGTTAACACAGCCACATGATATGCACCACAAGCAATTTCTTCAACAGATTCAGAAACAAGATTGTCTTCTACTAAGCAAGGTAACTTTCCATCAGATCTAGGATTTCCAAGCTGACCATAAACTGTACTTCCCATTGTGAAAACACGCCCAGATGTAGTAAGGCCAACAGTCAAATTATGGCCACAGGCAATTTTGTGAAAATTGTAATCGATTAGAGCAGTCACACAAGTAGGTTTAAGTCGAGATTCCTTGTCACCATGTCCAAGGCGGTTTTTATCACCATCACCCCAAGTGAAAAGTTTACCGGATGAAACACTTGTGCTAGACTGTGTTACAATGACCTCAACCACAGCAGCCGTGTGCCAAACTCCGCATGCGACAGAAATTGTCCTCAACCCAGCTAGAGACTCTACCTCCCTCGGATACAAAATATGTTCTCGATTTCCATGGCCCAAAACTCCAAAAGTTCCGTCCCCAAATGTAAAGAGTTGTCCAGTTGAGGATATCAAGGCAGTATGCCATGGACCACAAGTAACAGTTGCAACATGAAGTCTCTCAAGAGGACCTGAAATTCTCTTTGGTATCCAGTGACTGATATCAGTTCCCTGACCCAAGATCCCTGCATTATGTCTTCCGTCTCCCCATGTATACAGTTCACCAGATGTCGTAACAGCACAAGTATGAAACTCTCCACATGCAACAAAATCAACGTGGCAAAAAGATAAAGATTCCACTAGACGAGGTTTAGTAACATCTTTCCCAACTCCATGGCCAAGCTGTCCACCAGATTCTTCACCCCAACTAAAGATTTCACCTTGCCTAGTAACTACGGCAGCATGCCTAACTCCACAAGCAATATGATGTACATCCAGTACAACATTTGATTCTAGTGGCCTGGGAAGAAGCACATCAGCTCTTTTGCTCTCAGAAATTGAATTCTTCACTGGCCCAAACTTGACAACATTGTCACATATAATCTCGCCCCACATATAAACATCCCCCAAAGCATTGGAATCATCTGGTGTAGAACCTTGACTAGAAGTACTGGGGGCACTAGAAACACTAACCCGAAAAGCATCTGAACCAGATACTTTCAGCAGCATATTTGTCTGGCCAAGAGCTCCATGTGAACTTTCTGAATGCAACAGAATCATTTGGGTGATAGCTCTTGAAAGAAGTGCGTGCGTTCAAAATAACAGAACTATTGGACTATTGGATGTCAAATTTTTGTTATCCTGGAACATATGATTAGGAAACCTCAAGTTTAATGTGATGAAAATGTTTTCAAATCACCAAAATAGTATCCAAATTCAAATATTTGGATAGCACCGCGTGATATCCAAATAATGATTAGCACAATTCAAAAGACAAATTAAGTACCAAAATGTAGAATTTATCATTCTTGTAGAAGTGGATTACTTACTGTTCATCACAATCATATATTCAGCCAAACACATCATAGACTGTAGAGGTTATTCCATTTCCGTCTGTACTCTAGCCACATCAAACAAGAAATGATTCATAGTTTGTTGAAACCCCTCATTTAAAAGTTTAAGATACTAGAGGGAGGGCATATTAATTCATTTACATTAAGTCTTCTACACATGCAAGATGGATTTATATTTCATGGTATCAAAGCAGGCAGAGATTCTGTTAGAACCCTCACTACTGATGCTGCTGTACTCCAGTGATGGCTGTCTGTAGAGCCGAGAATCACAGACTTAGTGATGGGCAGAATGTAATTGGTGCTCTATGTCTGGGAGAGAAAAGAGTATTAGATGGTAGAACTATTGAAAGATGATTATTATAAAGCATTGTATTGAAATGAACAGAAATGATAACAAATTTTAGGCTATTCGAGAGGCCGGATCTCTCCCCACTAAATTCCAAATATCTTCCTCAATGCCCACAAATCCCAGCTCCTCTTTATTATATTTATAGACAATATGTTAGCTTTCTATTACCCTTTTACCCTTTTGCTAACTATGGGACACTCTAGAATATCGCAGCAATCTGATTGGATATCTATCAGATTCATCCTGCCGCCGCCACAGCAACATAAAAGCAAAACAAAAATTTGCTAGGAGCACATAGATCTACCATTTACGTGACAAGGTATTAGAAGTTATCCAAAGTAGAAATGAGAACGAGATTTTAGCAACAGGTATCCAAGGAAATAAAATTAACTGAAAAAGCATTTATACTGGCGTCCAAGTGTTAATGCTGTAAGACTAGATAATCACCTATACATATGTGCTCGAAAGAAGCATAGTAAAATCTGAATTCAATTACTCAGTTATCACACTCAAAAGTGAAACATAACTTACTTTATCACGCCAGATATAAGGTGCAAAAAAGAGAGCACACAAAGCGATAGGTACGGGAGGTTGCAAGACTTACATTGCGTAGGAGAGGCTGATCACTCAATACATCAAGTCATGACAGCCCAGCTAGAAGAGATGATATCGCCGCCTTAAGACCAACTATCCAGGTCCCCATCTCTACTCTGTCCTTGCAGATCTAAAAATACAACATGACATAGCTACAAGTTAATATAAAACAAAATCAAAATGTAATAATCATTAATGAAATTTGGTTTATCACTCATCACACCAAGGGAAATTTTATTGAATGCTAAATTTCAATATGGAATGCGTTTACTCTTTAATAGTTTAAACTTTTAGATAATATGGTTCAACACAATATCAAAGCATACCAAAAACATGGGCTCAAGTCTCACTGCTACCTACTTATGAAAATCAGGCATGTGTCAGACCTTTAAAAATGAAGTTATCATGCACGTGAGGGGCATGTTGCATGTTAAAAGCAAAGTAAATAAATGTTTCCAGTCTTAACTGAAGTTTAGGTTGTTCAACACTTTTTCACAATGTTGTAAGAGACAAAAAGATAAATAATCCTTCTATTAATAATGCAGATATTGTTGGAACTTCAAACCAAATTGGTAAGAAATGATAAAAGTGAACTTTTAAGCAGAATATAGGCTCCGAAAACACAAAAAGAAGGGGATGTAGGAATGGTTACAAGCATGGTTTCAAACCATGAAAACATGACTTATTTGAATAACCTAGTAACCTACCAAAGTACCAATTGTAGTCAAGCTTAAGTTATATAACATGAAATTAGATCTCTAATCTCTTACTTTTTTGTCCAGGGATAATTCTTGAAATTGAAGCTAGCTTCAAATTTCTTTCACCGCTACTAGAAGTCCAAATTGAATATGCTTTGTCCTGCAATAATAACATTAAAACTTATTATTGCCATGTCACAAAATCGAAGTAAGATTGTCAGATAAGAACAGATTTGATTAAATATTAAATACTCCAACTGTATGGTGGTTATATTAAGAAAATAAAAATAAAAATCCATTAGATGATGAATAACTGGTTTTAAGCAATCATATATTAGGTATTAGCGGTTGTTATGTATGTGGCTTATATAAAGTGAAACACAGGTTTACTGGATCAAATAGGCCGATATCGAAGCAGAGCAGAGTAAGGGAAAAGTAGCACACTGAATGGAAAGGAGCGGAGCGACGGTATCGATCTTGTGGGGTTTAATTCACTGTCTGGCTGCTAGGGACATTGAGTGGGATGGGGGTGCAAGGGCAACGTCCCCGTGGTACAGTACAGGAATATTTTCTTGTACGAGTTTTAAAGTCTTGTACGGGCTTGGGTTAGGATTAGTATAAATAATAATGTTGTAAACCTATTATTCATACTGAATAAAATTATCTCCACTTCGCTTTCGTAAACGTAGGCACGTCACCGAACCATGTAAATACTTGCGTTGATTTCTCTGTTTAATTCCTTTATTATTGCACATAAATTCCAACAGCGGTTTGTAGAAAGCAGTATCAACTCAGCAAGCAATCACAGTACACTTACATTTAACCATTGTGGACGATGAAACAATTATTTGTAAAGTGATCAATATTAGTGACCTCAGAAAGCCTCCGAATTCCAGTGTACTATAGGAAGTATTGTAAACAAGCTATGTTATGCAAGCCTATTAGGTAGAATTTTTTAATGCAAACTTAAAACTTGTCAAGCCTTCTTTTTGTATCTAAGATGAACCTAGACTAAACTTTTCACCTTTAGGTAATGAAGCCATGCCTTTCAATTCAGAGACAGATAATCCATCTAATTAATAAAAGCATCCAAATTGTCCAGTTTAGTCCATCAAGAAGTAAGATAGCAGTAAACCCTAGCTGGCATCCTCTTGAATCTAAGCTACCTTTTTCTTACATACCTCATAGATATGATTTTCTTAGGGAAATTTGTTAAAAAGGCCCTCCTAAATACAGAAAGTGAAAAATATTCTTACCTTAACATTTCCTTAACTAGCCATCTAACAAAAAGATTTTAACTCATAACTAGCCTCCTAGTCACTTCTTCTCTGGTGGTCTCTTCCAGCGTATAATTGAAAAAGAAAGTACAAAAATCTTGAGAGTGAGAAAGAAAAACCCTTCTTTCTTCCATCACTTTTAGTCCTTTCTCTAAAGCACGAACAAACACATATACAAACACCCGAAATTTGATGGATTAGTAAGATTCAATTGTATACAGACAACTATAATAAAGCACATAGATCACAAGAAAATCAACAAGCCTCCCCCTCTTCCATGCATCCATCCACCCCCAGTGTTTTATACAAATTCCTCAAATTAAATCTTAACTTTGTGAGTGTCACATCACTCGTAGAAGGCCAGCCTTAGAGGTACTTGTAAAAGTATTATTAGATCAAACACCTCATTTTGAGGAAATGATAACAGGAGGAGGACTACTTCAGTAGAAGACTGGTTCTATAAAGGCCTTAATTGGGGAAGATGTTGCTGTACATTTCACAGGGTGAAATCTAACAACTACTTCTAAGTTTCACATTGCTCATGCAAGACAAGACTTGTCTTGCACGCTTATTAGTACATTGGACAACCCCTCTTATAAGCTGGCTTCAAGAAGTTGTTCCACCTAGTGCTTGTAGCAAAGGTATTAGATGGCATGTGGAAGGCCTGTCTTATGAGCACATTGACACCCCTTACAAGCTGGTTAGTTCTACCCAAGTGCTTGTAACACAATACCAACAATCTATTGCTCATAATACAAATAGGAACTACGTTTTCATAGATTGACTAGTTATTAAGGTAGAGATTTTGAAGAGAGGTACATGAGACACTATCTAAATCTGGACTTTGATAGAAAACTTTGAATGTCAATAAGTCCTTCAATTTTGCATGTGCATTGAGTAGTCTACAGGTGAATATGGGTCCAACTTGAGGGGCCAATTTAATCTAGACATGGTCAATTTGACAAGAATTGGGATGTATTTAACGCAACCCAAGATCCATTTTGACCAATTATGCTGTTAGAAGAAGGCCGTTTATATTCATTATGCTAAGGTTTGTTAAACGTATGTTTTACAAACTCGCCTAGACATCAACTCGCAAAGGTCAAACCCGGTAATAAAAATAGCAATCATGCTACATCACTAGAAGAGTTTGACAAAAAGATTGGCATAATGTCACATGGCATTTATTGGACTGTACAGTCAGCTTTTTCTCATCTAATCATATATTGTCAACACCAATTATGTCAACGAACCTGTCAACCATTTCTGGTAAAATGGCATAATCCTAAAAATAGCTAATAACCGGACCAGTTCTCTGTTTTTCCAAGGTCGAATCAGACGGTGCAGTAATGTTTTCAGAATAACGTTTTAAGCTAAATAAAGAAGTCAAAGACCATAATTTTATAATATGCCACTAGAAAAATTAGCTCTCTTTTTACAACATTCACACGAAAACCAACAAAATTTTCCTGAAAATTTGCTTTCCTAAGTGCATTATATAATTTGGTATAATATATCATCGAATAGACTACAACACAAACAAGAATTTATGCTCAATTTTTTTGTTTTTTTTTATAATAGCGGCCAACCTTTTTTTTTTCTGGTTTGTAATTTGGAGAAATAAAAAGCCATTTTAGTCACTTTTTGTGTATAAAAATGACTATTGTAATTTGGGTTAGCATATTCATACCAAAAACGCCAGAAATGGAAACCCCGAAAAATCTTTCATTTTAAGTTACAAAAACACAGTCTAACACGAAGATCCCATTTCTAATCTTTGAATTGAACGCATATATTACATAATACACTTATATAGAGAGACGTCATACTATATGGACAGACAGATAGATAGATAAAAGTGAGCACAGATACCAGCTCGATTTCATTTCCGCCTGTTGAATTGTAAAAAAACTCTCGAGCATTCTACTAAACCCAACTCACCACCATTTCACTCCCCCGGATCTGTAAAACTTGCTTCAGTTGAAGCATAAATGTCAGCGTACACCTGGCTGTTACGTTGTTACAGTGTAGTGGTGCTTGTACGGAAGACGAGTAATCAAATTTTTCTCCAGCGGCCGGAAGTGGAATACCGGCTCTGGCGACAATAGTGTGTGAGAGAGAGAGATGGCCGAAGGTGGTGTGGAGTACGTAGTCAAAAGAAGAGAAAAGCAGAGAATCAAAATTCGCCTGAGAATACAGAGTAAAGTTTGACCATTACTTTGCTTTTTTAGCTCCCTTTTATTTAACTTATTTTCTTTATACATCAATAATTTTTAAATAAAGCATTGAAATTCGTAAATTAAGACAGTTTAGATCACTTTTTGAGAAGTTAAAATGAGTTTTCAAGGCATCCTCGTTTGATTCTCATAGATTTAAGAATGAAAATGAAAAATATAGTCGTTATGGGATCTACACTAAAGATAGAAAGTCAAATGTGATGACTTGATGTGATGAATAACAGTCATATTTTTTATTTTTGTAACTAAAGAATGTGAATCAAACAGAGTCTTAAAAGCCATTTTTAAAACTTGTTTAATTAATGTCATAATACATTTCTTCTAGTTATAAAAGTTTTATAGGAAATTAATCCTATATAATTTGTTCTAAAGGCTATTTCTAAAATAAAAAACTCTTCTAGAACTTAATTTTTAAACACCAATTGAGATAGTTTCACAAGAAAAGCTTCTACAAGCAACAAAAGAAAAAATATAAGTCAAGCCAATTAAGCAGTTAAGTTCATGTTTGAACTCTATCATTTAAAAACTCTTCTTCTTCTTTTTTTTTTACAAACTCATTTTCAACTACATATTTTTTTAATAAAATAATTTTACAGGTAAATTCAAATATTTTTTTCTATATTTTATCCGCACATTTGTTAAAAAATTACTATTACGAAACTTTTTTTTCCTTCCAAAAATTAGGACTCAAACAGACCTAAATGAGACCCATTCGAAAAACACAACTCATACTATTTTCTTATAATGTATTCTTGAATAATGCTAGCTCAATGAAATGTAATGAATAAAACCCATTCAATTAACTATCATTTACTGGCATATAAAATATTAGTGATGCAATATAGGAGTGCTCTTTATTATGAATTAGTATCACATTTACTTGTTCAAAAACCATTTCAATTTCTTTTATTTAACATCTTTATTTGGATTCTATTCATCTCATATTCATTCTTGATTTAATTGTATTTTATCTAAAACTTGTCATCTTCAATTCACTTTATCTTTTCATTTCATCTACTCCTTTAATTTGTATTACATTCTCGTCAAAATTACAATTATAATTAATAAAACAAACACAAAAAAGGCATAAATCTCTATATAAATACTACCGTCTAGAAGAACACGAGCCCACAACCTAAATTCTCTTTTACCATTAATAGTCAATGTATCTCGAAGAAACTCTTTAAAGGGTAATATGCTCTTTATTTTTAAGATCAAATTTTGAATTATACTCTAAGAATAACAAAAAAAGCCCACTATTCTATTAAAAATCCATTTAAACAAATTACATCTTTCAATGCTTCATAATAGTAAGTTTTAATGTTAGTATTTGTAAAATAATATTGTACAACTTGTTGACATTGATAGGTGTGGCAAAAAAAGTTAGTTGAAAAGATTAATTGTTTTTTAAATTGTTCAATGACAATATGTCCATGATATGTTGTCGATAATGTTATCAAATTTACTGTACATGAAGCATTGCTCAATTGACTAATATGATAACATTGCAACTTGTAAGGAGCCCTAATCCCAAGATAATGGGATCAAATTCCGAGACATACCCGAAATAATCAGAAATTTAGGAAAAGAGTAACCTCACTAATTAATTCTAGAAAAGTGATCATTCCTTTTACTTTTAATTTTCTAGAAATCAGAGAATTTCATGGGCCCGAACCCGAAACCAATTTGATTTTGTTAGGTAAAATGATGGTCATCATAGGACCCACCAAGTAAATCATGTCGGGCCGCTGCTGGTTGAGGTGGCAGAAGATTAGTAGATATTCATTGCTAGATTATCACAGCCGTCGATTTGTTTTACTTTGTATGTATACATAGGCTTTGACTTCTCGTTTCTTTTCATTTTTCACACTCAGAGTACATTTCATTGTCAATATTTTCTATGAAAAATGTGTTTTTTCATTCAAATTTCTACTTTTACGCTATTTGAATGCTATTTTTTCCATAGAAAACATTTTCTCACTTTTGATTATGTGATTATATTCTTCTCAAAATCAAGGAAAATATTTTTTTTAGGAGGAGTAGAATTTTATTTTTTAGGTAATTCGTTCTCTTTTTCTCTCTTTTATCTAACCCACCAACAAAAAATGGAGAAGTATAATATTTTTTAAATTGAAAATTAAATCAATCAAACACATTTAATCAACAATTTTCATACAAATAAATTTTAGGCAATTGAATTACCTAAAATTTATTTTCTTTCTATACAAATACATACTTGCAATCAAATGCATTATTAAACTTTCTTCATATTTTAACAGTTAAAGTATCATAAAAGTAATATTTCATCCACGTATATTTTAAAATAGTGAATAGTAAAAAAGATTTGAGTAACGTTACTTGTACATCACTGTGTATGGATTGATGATATGGAATATATTAATTGACTTCCTTTTCTTTTATTCTCTCTCTTTTTTTCCTCATTCTCTTTATGCCACATCATCAATTTGTACACGATGATAAACAAATAGCAAAACTTATTTTTATTTTTTTACTTTTTGTATCATTTGCCAATGGATCAATTTTTAAGTTAGCTACAAAAATAAGTCATATGGTTCATTTAGTTAATGATGTTAACTACGAAAATATTTTTGGTTGAGCTACATAGAGCTTTTAATACAATAACAAGTTCTTCTATACATTTAAGGTCTAATATTAGTAGGTGACAACTATAGTATTCTTTTATTCAAGTCCCAATTGTGACTCTATTCTTCTTCGTAATAATTATTTATAAAATTCTCAATACAAATATTTTTTTATTAGAAAAATTCTACTTGTACATAATTATTGCACATAATCATGTCCATAATGTGATATTGCAATCATTCGATTGTTAATGTACAAGTGTGAGATTTGAATTAAAAGTTGGATCTAGTACCACGTGTAATTATGGACACCATTATGTAGATAATTATGTATATGTAGCATTTTCCTTCTTATTAACACCTATTTAAGTACCTACTCTAGATTAAATGAGAATTTAAATTTTTTAATAAAAGGTATTGTTGGATTATTATTATTATTATTATTATAATGCAATGGTAGTTGTAATTTATGTATAATGAATGCAATGTCCAATTTGAAAGGCGCCTTACATGTTTGTGCCATCCCATCATTGTGTGCGGAAAAGTGATGGTATAGCGAGGAACACTTGGAAGAAAAAGAGGACATAAATATAAAGGAAGAGAGAAGGTGGCTACCAAGGACAAAAGCCAAAATTTTAATTGCAGTGGCTTTCACTGTGATTTTGGAGTTGTAAAGAAGATTGAGTCAAAAAATTATTTTGATATTTGTTTTATACTTTGTTTGAAAACTTTTTAAATTATAATAATATTTTCAAGAGATTATTTAAATATGAGATGCTCTTTATTTTAAAGATAAAGAAAAATAATAAATATTTTTTGAGAGTAATGAAAGTTGGAGAGCCAAACTCATTCTTTATAATTAAATTCATTCAATGTGATTCAATTTTCAATGTACTAGAATAATTAAAAGAAAAGCTAGTTAAAGTAAAAGATAGAGAAAAATAATAAATATTTTTGAGTTTAATAAAATTAAGTGTTAAATATAAAGAGTTTGTTGGAATACTTCATAATTTTAAGGAATGCTTCAAAATTTCAATTCTCTAAATTTATAGATACTTTTTAAATGATAGAATATGTTCTTTAAAAATAGACAATCTCTTGAAAATACTCTAAATACATTTGTTAAAATTATTTTTTATTTATATAATTTTTACAGGAGGCTAGTTGTATTGGGCCCTACATGCCTTGTACTTATATCTTTTTCCATTCTCAAAACTTTCATTAAACTCAACAATTTTATTTGTTTCCAGTTTTTAATTTTTATGTGTTGGTCTAACTTTCTAAATTGTTAATGCATATAGTTTTTTTTCACTGTATTCTCAAACACTTTTATTCAATTGCTTCTAATGTTTTCATTAAAGTAGAGTTAATTTCCTAAATAGTCAATAAAATTTGCCAAAAATTTCCAGGAGGTCACCAAAGTTCAAAACTTTCTTAAATAATCATTGAACTTTACAAAAAGTTCTTAGGGGGTCACTAAACTAGTGATATATGGGGTCCCAATTTGCAAAGTGGAGTGAACCCCTAAGGACTTTTTGTAAAGTTCAGTAACTATTTATGGATGATTTGAAATTTGGTGACCATTTAGGAACTTTTAGCAAAGTTTATTGACTATTTAGGGAAGTCTTGAAGTTCAGCGACATCATGGAAACTTTTGACAAAGTTCGGTGACTATTTGGGTAATTATCTCTTTAAAGTACCTCAATTTTCCATTTTTAGGTTCCACTCTAAAAAGGTAACTTGGGACCAGCATTCGAAAGTTAAAACGCAGTACTGCGATAATATAATCGAAGCTCAGAAATTGAGCTCTTCCAAGCCAAGTCGGTTTTGTTTGAGATAATCCCACAAGCGTCCGAGATAATCGACAAGTAATACGTAGTGAGTTACGTGTATCGTTCCACAATAAATAACTGCTAACTATAATATACTAACTACTGTCAAGTTCGATCTACGTGACACAAAAGAGTTTGTTCGACTTATTCTAACTTGAGCATCTATGTAAAGAAGTGTTTTTTTCTTTTTAGCAAATTATGAGATGAATATATTGAATTTCAGAATTTACATATTGATCTTTATTTCCAATTCTCGACTCATGTAAGTTGGTATTCTTCAAGTATTCGTGACAATCAATAATTCATTAATGTCTAACTTTCTTTTTCAAAATAAATTAAACCTATCCTAAGCACGACCTCATTCTATTCCTAGTCCGAAATCATATGCAAAGGGATGCTTTCAATCATGATTATCAACCTAGAATGCACATGCCATAAATATTATTTCTAACCCCTATTATACATATGTCAAATATACAATGTTCTAACCTATTTGTGATCTCTCAATACTACAATAAGTAACAAATTGTCTAAATGGTAATCAAGCATT